CATTTTCGAAATATTTATATTTATTTTAATTTATTTATACCATGAACTTAATTATATTGTTTAATAGTACACTTATAATGATAATATCATTGTTTTAGGTATGGAATTGGTGCTATTTATCAAAAACAAGAACGGTATGAATTAGCTGAAATGCATTATAAGCGAGCTTTAAGGATAAATCATAGTAGCGCTTTAATCATGTGTCATATTGCTGTCGTAAGTAAAGTGAATTTTAATAACCAAAATCAAGTTTCTAATTGTCATTAATTCAGTATATTTTATAATATAATTTTAATACTTCAAAAATGTTTACTATGTTTCAACATTTTTTCAATAGGTACAAAATAGTATGGACAAACCTGACCAAGCATTACATACTTTACATATAGCTTTAACATTAGAACCTAAACATCCAATGTGTAAATATCAACGAGCACAAATTTACTCTAAACTTGGTAAATTACCAGAAGCACTGTATGAGTTGGAAGAATTGAAAGAAATTGTGCCAAAGGAATCTCTAGTCTACTTTTTAACTGGAAAAGTATATTGTAGTACCATTCATTTTTTCAATTTTTAATTTTTATCTTTCTTAGGTACATAAAAAACTAGGCAATATACACCTGGCATTAATGAACTTTAATAGAGCAACTGACTTAGATCCAAAAGGGGCCAGTAATCAAATTAAAGAAGCAATAGATCCAACCAATAATCAATCACCATTGGATGATTCAGGTTAGTGCATATTATTTATTCATTGAAAAACAATGTTAATCAAAAATACATATTATAATGTTTTTGCTTATTGTAATTATGTCCATCTATTTATCATATCAAATCTATAATGCAAAAATATTCTTATGTGATTTGTAGTGTAATGCTTACTGTGAAAATTGATCCATATTTAACTCTTAAAACTATTACCAGTTTATTGTAAATAAGAAAATATTTATTAAGTCAGTTAGTGAGAAAGTATGGTTTTCAAGTATAGTAATACTATATTGTCAAAATTTACTTTTTTAGATTCTGAACGAAGTGATGAATGTATTGATTTTACAATGATGTGTTTTTTTTTTGTGTCTGTGTACAGCATAACTAGTCGAAATAATGCTTCAATTTCAAACTTTGGGAGTGGTTTCCGATGTAAAAGTGAATATCCTTGGTGCATTATAAAAGTCAAAAGTTAACATTTTCCAACAATTTTCAAAAAAATCGAGAAAAACAAAAAAAAAATAACAGAAAAACGAGAATTTTTAAGCAAAACCAGTTTTCGACCAAATCGGTTTTCTTATATGGTTGTAATTCAAAAACTAATCATTGTTTATACTTGAAATTTATACCAAATGTTTAATTTTCAAAATGTTTTGACTTTTTTTTGAGTTATTTATAGACCACTGAAATTTTCAATTTTTTTTTGAAGCGCCAGTAAAAAAATGTTGGACGACCAAAAAACAAGAAAATTTAATTCAAGGTTCCTTATGAGTTGTTCTTATTGTAGCTAAAAAAAATTTAAAATCGTTAGTCACAATTTTTTTGAAAATGAAAATTTCATAAGTTAATTAGGTTGGCATTTTCTTTACATGATTTAATTTTCAAAATATTTTGACTTTTTTTGAGATATTTTTAGACGACTGAAATTTTAAATTTTTCTGAAAATTTTTTTTTTGAAATGTTGATCAAATTTTTTTGGCCCTATCAAAATGCTTGAAATTTAATACAAAATTCCTCATAAGTTATTCTTGTAGTTATTGAAAAATTATAAGAATACATACGCACAATTTTTCAGTTATCTGAAATAGAAATTCATAAAAGTTTTTTTAAATCTAAGATTTGAAAATTAAATACTAAGCTCTTAACACACTGTAACAATAGCAGTTGAAAAATATTAAAATATATAGCCACAATTTTTTTTTACAAGCATTCAAATTTTAATTTTGACAACATACGTAAAAATCACAAAAATTCGTAAATTATTTTATCCTAGAAATTCATAAAAAATTTTCATTTTATATCTAAGATTTGAAAATTGAATACAAGGTTCCTAAAATATTTTTACAATAGCAGTTGAAAAATAAAAGAAATGCATAGTCACATTTTTTTTTTACAAGCATTTAAATTTAAATTTTGACAACATACGTAAAAATCAAGAAAATTTGCAAATTATTTTTAAGCCAAAGATTCAAAAAATTTTTATAATCTATAATATATCTTATACAGATAAACAGTCTCCGTTCAGAATTGTTTTTCGTGTACAATGATACCTATCATTGCATTCAAATTTAACCTACTCTAGTCAGAGGTCCACCCCTCCCCCTAATGTACAACAGAGTAATACCCACTTACCCGCTTTTTTATCGCTTCAATATAATTTATCAATCACTGAGCTATACACCCGATCATAGTTGGTAAGTTATGCCAGTTATGATATGCTTAATCATAGTCTGTAAGTTAAGGTATTGTCAACATTTGAATAAAAAAAAAATGAGAATGAAAAACCACCAAAATTATATGCTGATAAATTTGATATGATGAATAATTGAATATTGATGCTAATTTAAATAAAGTTCAATAGTATTTAAATAAAAAATTTACATACCAATAACAATTTTATAAAATGAAACTAAAGTTATATTATAAAAATAACTACATTGACAAAATATAATTTATTTATATTAATTTTATACATTTTTATTTTTTTTTAGATGATCCTTGATGCAGTAACTTAATTGTTTGTTTATGTATTTATTTATTTTATAACATTATAATCAATATTATCTTCTTAACTAATATTTTTAAATTGTTTATTGCCTTGAAAATGTATTTTTAGTGGTTATTTAAAAAAAAACATGATAATAAAAAAAAGACTGCTGAGATGCATTATGAAATGAAAGCTGCTTTTGGTTGAAAACTACAAATAAATTATATTGTAGAACCAAAGTCATTTTTAACAATTCCTATTTTTATTTGTTTATTTTTTTTTTTTTTTTTTTTTTTTTTTTGATTCAGTAAATAAGTTTTGTGGCTTGTATCAAAGTTCCTGATTTTTAGAGCTCATTTGTATTGTTAAAAAATAATATTATCGTGTATAATTCTTATTAATCTAAATTTACATGGTATATTTTATTGCCAGTATCTTAATGTTTTGTAAACTATGAAATGTAAATATACATTTTGTAAGCAGCCTCTTATATAAATTAATTGTTTCATTATATTATTATACACATTTGAAAGTTCTTATGAACATAAAAACTATTAGCTTAATTCAAATTGTTACTTTTTTATTTAAAAAAAAAATTGGTAAATATTAGTGTAACAAGTTATATTATGTATAATTAAATATAAATTATCTATCAACATTTATTAAATTAAACTAGCTCTAAAAATCTAAGCCACAAGATGAATATAAAATTGTATTTGACTAACATAAATTTATATTTATTTCTATAGTAATATTGTAATGATACTAATATTATTACATAAATAAATATTTTCAAAATATTCAATCAATAACTATTCTATCCGGAAACACAACAAAATATAAAAAATATAAAGCAATAGTTTTTATGCAAAAAGTTACATTACTTTATGTAAGGTTCTATGCAATTAAAAAATATTTAATGTAACAATGTAGTTATGTTTAATATGCATTGTTGTTTTAGTCAATATAATTTTATGTTTAATATTATAATCAATACTTTTTAACAAAAATCATTGTATTCTTCATCAATGTTTATAATAATTCAGTTAAATGTAATAAACACTAATTATAAAATTGATCTTTATTTCACTTGAAGGAAAATTCAGAAAGTTTTAATCTAAAGTCAAACTAAATATACTTTTACATTTAAATTAAACTAATATTAAATTTCAACTTGATATTATTTAATGCGTTGGTTATCTAGATTTATTTTGAACTTGTAATTAATTATAATTAAATTAAATTGTAATTGTGATTAAATATTTAATCTAAGTTAATTTTATACCTGTATTTAATTAATAAATATTTATTGTACAGACATAACTGATAATTTTATTTTACATTTAGACATTTAGATATTTAATTTAGAAACTTGTTGATGGAAAATGACAAGTTTACAACAGTGATTTATGTTAAGGGAAAAATGTTTATTGATAGAAAATTAATTATTATGTTACTCATTGATTTGGATATATCTATTCTAAGTAAATAAAATGTGATAACATTTATCATAAAATAATATTGACTGATATTAAAATTACTTACTGTCTACTAATGTACCTATGTAATTATTTTAAATAAATCTATAGTTTATTATTTTTGTTAATTTAAAATGTAAAATCAATAAGTATTGATACAATATTAGAACTATAGAAGTATTTAAAATATTTGCATTGTACATTCTAATAAAGAATAACTCTATTATAAATACAAAATTATTTTTTGACTTTAATACATTATAATATGGTTTAAATGTGAATATTGTAAACATATTAAAAGTTTCAACCAATTAATGATAAAGAGATTTTTATTGACAGGTAATTTTTAAACTACCGCAATACACATACCTATGATTCTTTGACTATTTTATACTTGCGAGGATGGTGTCTTCACTGTATATTTTGATAGTGAGATATTACATAAAGAAAAATATAATATAAAAGCAATTTATTTTTAATTTCTTGTGAATATTTACTTGGTAGTTACTCAATTCCTTTTTCGCGTATAAAACATTATGTCTGGATGTTAGAACTCGAACCAAAATAAAAATACCTTATCTAATTTGATAAGTGTTATTGCTGTATAGATAAAAGATATTTTTTCAGTTTGAAATATATTTCAATATTGGAAAATAATTACACATTTAAAAAATTGTATTTGTATCAAAACATCTTAATCTCAACATTAGATATATACTTTATATATTAGAGTATATTTTTATATAATTTTTTTATATTTGATAAATATACTAAACAAGGAAAACCATAGTTAATGGTAGTTGTTTAAAGAAATAAACTTTAATAAATTTTAGATTGCATTTATATTTTATGAATAGAAAATAACTTGTATTTATAAAAATAAAACAAATACAAAACCACTTTGATATTTCTTCATTTTAAGACGTCAGAAGGGTAAATACATCATTGCGTTTATTAGTGTTGAGTTTAAAATATTATAGTTGGTTCCTAGTTGTAGTAAATACTAAATGTAGTAATGAACATCATTTTTTTTTAAAAAACCAAGTAATAATCTTATATTCAAATTAGTTTTTAATTAATGCAATTTTCTATTCAAACATTGATAAGTGCTTAATATTAGTAGGTACTATAACGTATGAACTGAACTATTATCGACCGTATTTATGTGTATTATTCATCATTTTAATAACTTTATAATTTTGTATATGTAAATTTGTTCATTATTAATGCTCACAATTTACCATGTTAAATTGAATGGTGTCCTTAGATCTAAGTTTAACATTTTGAAGTATAAAACCTACAATAAATAAAATATATCAAAAATTAGTTTATGTCCTAATGTCTATAGGTAATGTACAGTTAATAATACAAATGATGTATAAATATGTTTATAAGTATGTAAGTATGTATACGGTAATAAAATGTAATTAGTAATTACACTTAAAATTACTTGTTCGGTTTTATTAAAGTAATAACCCTTGAATGGAATTCCATTAACTTGTGAATTGGTCAGTCCTTCTTTGATACCAAGTACAGTAATATTTTGTAATACAAAGTTGTCATCAATACAATTATTCTTCTCTACTATACTGAAAAATGTATTGTTTGCAAGCTTAAATTGTACTTTGTTATATGAATCGTTTTTCCAAACATCTAAAAATTAATAAATATTCATTATAAGGTTAAATGGTTAATGTTTAAATTTAAAAAATAAGACTTGTATCAAAGTCTGTAGAAATTCATTCATTCATACCTAAAGACTTTCCATCATCAAAAAATAAGAAACCAGTTGCTTGGTTGTGTTTAGTTGCTGCTAAGAGTTCAAAGTGATTTTTACGACTAAACCAAGTTAAGGAACATTTATGAAACAAGTAAGTTACATTAACAAAAACAAAAAGTAAATAAATAAGTATAAAACATTTTGTACCTTAATTTTGTAGTTAAATCAGGCATTTGTGTTGGTAAAATATAACCCCCTCGTATCAGTAAGGGTATAGTGTCATCAGGCGCTGTTATGACAAAATAATTTCCGTTGCTTGATATTGCAGTTTTATTGTAAAAATCATACCATATATCTTTTGGGAGATATACATACACGTGATGATTTTTCTTGTACAAATTATTTTAATATATTACTTTTACATTAATTATACATGTAACTTAAACTAAATACAAATAAAAAATATTAATAATTTACTAACTTCTTTTAAAACTGGTAAGATTAGTAATGCTGCACCCCATAGAAAATGGGTGTCTATGCCATATGTATTATTATCAGATGGAAACCTATTGATAAATAAAAATTAGATACAGTGGAGCTTGTGTAGTTTTAAATTATTGTCTGAAATTACTCAAAAAACAAAGGTCGAACGACAGTTTCTCCGTAAACATGAGCTTTCCAAAACAACGAATACAAATATGGCAATAAATAATATCTAGTATTCAATGATTTTTTTGCAGATAATAGAACTTTTGAGCCTAAAGCTGCTGGATCTTGGTCCTAAAATGGTGAAAATAACAATCAATTACAAAACTTTTGGTTATTATAGTAAAAAATAATACTTTCATATACTGGCCATTATGATTTCTTGAAAATGGATAGAAGGCTCCTAATTGAATCCACCTTAAGCACAACTCAACGGTAGTGTCGTGGTGAAAACCACATATATCTGCTCCAACTAGGGGAATGCCGAATAAATTAAAATTTATTATATCTGAAATAATAAATAACAATGTAGTTTTTGATTTATGCTCAACGAATAAATAACTTGGCAAAGCAGTTAGCAGGGACATTCTTAAAACAAATACATGAGGAGTTTAGTCTTAAAAATTATTATCTCAAATATCGAATATCAAATATAAATATAAAATATCGAACAAATTTACTGAGAACTGACTATAGTAGTAAGTACCGATGTTACGATATTAAAATTAATTATTAAGTTTATAATATTATATAGTTGTATAAAAAGCCAACAGATTTTACACCTTTAATGCCGGTAATAAAGCCAAATGGAACAGTAAGATTATGTGCAGATTATAAGATAACCATATATAAATATTTAGAAGATTATAACTATCCACTACCGAAAGTCGAAGAACTGTTTGTAGCCTTGCAAAGGGGGGGGGCATTTTTAGTAAGCTAATAAATTTTATAAATGCTTATAATCAATATGAAATATGTGAAGATACTCAACAATTATTAGCACGGAGTACGCACAAGTATATATATAAAGTAAAGATTGAAACAAAACCAGCTTGTTCGATTTTTCAGCAAATAATCGAAAAAGTACTACAAGAGTTAAAAGGTGCAAAGAAATGTTTGGATGATATCATTGTGACTGGAGTGGACGATGAGGATCATTTACAAAATTTGAAGGAAGTTGTAAAAATGTAACATTTAAATGGACAAATCAATGTAATGAAGCTTTTAGTAAGTCCATAGAAGCCGCGATACAACATCAGCAGGGGATGAAAGAAATGATCAGCAGTATCAGCACCAGAACTTTGCCTGCATCCGATCCTTTACCACTCCTCAATACAAGTTATTTCGATTTCACCAATGATATCGTAGAGCCGTTAGTAAACACGATGTGATGATAACTACTTCCACGAATGGATCCCTTGATCCGAGAACAAATAATCTTATTCTCCATCTGGGTCAATGGTTTGTTTATATGCACCTGTCATTATTTCGGGCTTTCGCAGAGAGAACGTGCCATGTTCGAACATTTCTGAAGTYAAAAAGGCGTAACTAGCTTGATTATTACCGTTTATCTCCGCAATTAAATCATTGTGTCTTTCCATATCATCACTTTCATTCTAGTTCTCGCTTAGTTCACATTATCCTCATCACTAATGGCTAATTTTATGCTATTCGCTCGCGCTTCAAGTGCAGCTGAAACTTCCCCCTCCTTTTTTTGTGTGTTCCTGCCACTACACTACTATTAACCTATCTACTCCCGTTGGCAGCAGAATTTCTCGAAGTACTAGGAGTCATCGCAAAAGTCGACATTCGTCATTTCGTGAGCGTGGAAAATCTTCTACTTTCATGCTACTCTTTCTTCTCCTTCTCTCTTCATATCTTTGGTCTATCTCTTCTCTAGCCATTAGAGTCGCGAAGTCCGTTAATGTAGTAGCATCTTTTAAAGCTGAATCGTGCGCCGAGCCGATGTCCTTCGTTCCGCAGTAAAGAGCCGTGTCAACCCCATCGAATAAACTCAATTTAGCCATTACACCTTTGACTACTTCAAATGCGATACCTTTTGATCTTTTAGGTCCAATCGCTCTTATACTAGTGTTCGCAAGTCGCAAAATAACATCATTAAGTCCAAGGAAGCAATGACATCAGATTTGATGTTAGTGAATTTTAATCCAGAAATACAATAAAACTATTGTGTGATGCTTCTGAATATGGAGTAGGTGCTGTTTTAGTTCATGTTYTTTTGACGGAACAGAAAAACCTCTAAGTTATGCGTCAAGGGTATTAACGGTAACAGAAAAAAAAATATGCAGTGATGCAGAAAGAGGCTCTAGCTATTTTTTGGAGTGTAAAAACATTTTCACAATATATTTTATTACCACAAACCATTGTAAGCATTATTTGGGGAACATTATAATGGCATTCCACGTATGGTATCAAATAGATTACAACGTTGCAGGGCTTTATTTTTGTCAGAGATCAATTATGAATYAAAATATGTACAAGGCAAAAATAAAACCAACCGATGGTTTGTCCCGTTTACTTAGAAATTAAAAGTGATGAAAGTGATAATGATTAATGAGTGCCGCAGTTATGAAGATTTTGTAGAAGGAATGATACTTTTAGATTTATTAAAAATAAGGCAATAAATCGTTGTTCTAGTGATCGCATATTTAAAAACTAAAACCGGATTGTAAGTTGTAACTTGTAGCATTATAATCAGAATGGGGTGCTCTATGAACAAAACATTGATAACATAAAAATCTGATAAAATTATTTTGAATTTTGTTTAAATCTTGGATTTGTGTTACTAAATATGGATGCCAGATTAGRAGGGCATAATCAAAATGTGAACGGATTAGTTGTAGTTTAATATTTTGAATGCAAATTCATCTCTAAAGTTTCTACATGTTTAAAAAAACCTAGCTTTGCGGACGCTTTATTTCTAATATAAAGTATATAGATAGTTTGGAGTCAAATTTTACTCTAAGATCGTGTACTGTAGACACTTTTAATAAATTTATATTACCCAACGAATAATTTAACTGGATAGGTCTTTTTAAAGAAAATGTAATATAGAAACATTTTTTAAAATTTAAATGCATATCATTTTGCTGGCACCATTTATACATATTATTTAAATCCAATTGTAGTTCAATTGCGTCTTTTAAGCAGCTAATATTTTTGAATATTTTAGATCATCGGCTAATAATAAGATTTTAGAATGAGAAATTACATCTGATATAGTGATATATCATTTATGAGAGGCAAAAGAATATTGGGGATAAATGGTCTTCTTGGGGGACACTGGAAGTAACGAGGATTTGTTCAGAGACATAATTTTTATATTTTACAATTTAGGTGCGTCCAGAAATGAAAGAATAAAACCGAGAAAGAAGTGGTTCAGTGAATCCATACATTTTCAGTTTATTGATTAATAATTTATGATTAATCCTATCAAAGGCTTTTTCCATATCGGTATAAGACATCAGTTTGTGATTGAATTTCAAATGAATCCAAGCAAGATTGCGTGTTTAAATTTGCACAACTTTGTTATTGTTGATTATTTTTCCTAAATTCGTGTTGGTAATTTGATAATAATTTATTGCATAAAGGTGTAATAATATTATTTGCCAATTTTGAAAATAATTTAGGTATTATTCAAAATTTAGATATAGGACGATAATTGTTTATTAAGCATCTGTTGCCTTTTTTGAAAATCGGGGTTATATAATGAGGATTTCCATTGTTCTGGAAAGATACCTCATAACAATGATTTATTAAATAAAGAGGTTATAGTTGGAGTGAGTATGAATGCATACTTTTTTTTTAATAATGGCGAGATTTCATCAGGACCAATTATTGCAGTTTTATAACTAATATTCCAAAGTTCATTGAAAATATCTATCTGTTTAAATTCTATTTTATTAATAGTTCTGATACTATTTTGTTTTAAATTAGTTTTTGGGCAAGTTATATCATTTGTGATGTATATGTATTAGTGTTAGAGAAGTATTCTTTAAATAAATTAACAATATCGTTACCAATGTTACCATTATTAACTTATTCTTTATCTAGGTATGCCATACAGTGTTTGGTAATTTGTGACTATATTTATATTATTTTCATTTACAAATTTCCAAAACAATTTTGNTTATGATTAATCCTATCAAAGGCTTTTTCCATATCGGTATAAGACATCAGTTTGTGATTGAATTTCAAATGAATCCAAGCAAGATTGCGTGTTTAAATTTGCACAACTTTGTTATTGTTGATTATTTTTCCTAAATTCGTGTTGGTAATTTGATAATAATTTATTGCATAAAGGTGTAATAATATTATTTGCCAATTTTGAAAATAATTTAGGTATTATTCAAAATTTAGATATAGGACGATAATTGTTTATTAAGCATCTGTTGCCTTTTTTGAAAATCGGGGTTATATAATGAGGATTTCCATTGTTCTGGAAAGATACCTCATAACAATGATTTATTAAATAAAGAGGTTATAGTTGGAGTGAGTATGAATGCATACTTTTTTTTTAATAATGGCGAGATTTCATCAGGACCAATTATTGCAGTTTTATAACTAATATTCCAAAGTTCATTGAAAATATCTATCTGTTTAAATTCTATTTTATTAATAGTTCTGATACTATTTTGTTTTAAATTAGTTTTTGGGCAAGTTATATCATTTGTGATGTATATGTATTAGTGTTAGAGAAGTATTCTTTAAATAAATTAACAATATCGTTACCAATGTTACCATTATTAACTTATTCTTTATCTAGGTATGCCATACAGTGTTTGGTAATTTGTGACTATATTTATATTATTTTCATTTACAAATTTCCAAAACAATTTTGRATTTGATTTAACCGCATTTTGTGAGATTWGTATGTGTAATGTATGATCACGWTGCAYAAGTGCTTACATTTGGCATGTAAATTAGAAAATGTCTGATAATTTTTATGTTGTTTAAATATTATGAGAAATTGTATTTTGTTTTATAAGAGTTTTTAGTTCCTTACTAAAACCATTTCGGATATTTGGATTCTAATTATATTTCTATATATATATATTTCTATATATCTATAAATATTTGGAATTTGAATTTTAGGAATATAGTGATCCATAATAATAACGAATATGATTATAAAAAATTTCAAACAATTTYCGATGCTATTTTTATTAAAATATTTTATAAATTCAACATTTCCTAAATATTTAACAATTGAAATGTAATTACCTGTACGCTAATTATACGTATAATCATAACAAGATAGATAAATTCAAATTTGTAAAATGATGTGTAAAAGTAGCAGTTATTGGGTGATAAATATAAATATAAATATAAATAATTGGATTAAAACATAAATCGACATAAGTAGCGGTAAAATTTGTTAAGACGTAATCCAAGATAATATTTTCATTATTTTTTATACAATTTAATTGAGATAAATTTAAAAGTGCTAATTTATCATCAAAATAAGATTATACATTTGAAAAATTTGCTGACGGTAAGTTAAAGCYGCCAAACAGTAAGAAAATAGCATTATGGTATTTTTTATATAATGATTCGATGTAATAAAAATAAGAATTAAATACAAAATACATTTTCATTAGATTTATTTGGAATATACCTACACGGCTACACAGAAGACAGAACCAATAATAATAGTGAGATTAGAAATATTTAAAAGTACAAATAATAATTCTATACAATTATTTTCAATTAAGATATGCTTTGAATCAAAATTATTTCGAACAACGATAAGTACACCACCGCCTCAAGATAACATACTTGTTTGCACGGACTAAGATCATAGAACAATATGCTAAGACATAATATCTTATATGGTCCATGCTAGTTTGGGTTGTTCTATCATATCATTCATATCTGTATGTATCATAATTATGAAAACCCAATTCTGATGACATTATCTGTTAGCGAGGTTTCACTGTTTCAGTAAATATAAAATATCATGTAATGCACACGGGAGTTGAGGTTTCAAATATGACAATTTATTATTTAAACTACGGACGTTTTGATAGTAAAAATTTAAGCTGGTGGTATTTTTCAGTTTTTTTGTAGTGCTAATGATTTTTGGAATACCTTTAGCATACTTGATGATAATTAAATTTTGTTCACCTTTTTCTCTGCGATTTTGTAGCATGTTTCTGAAATTTGCCATTTCATTTCGCTGTTTGGTTGTTTTCACTGAAGAGAAGTGAATACTTGAACATTTCTTTGAATTTTTTAGAATTTTTTGTGCTCGTAAAATAGTGAATACATCTGACTGCTCAGTAAGACGAATTTTTATGGGCCGTGGTATATCATCGTGGATAGTGGATTTTGTTCTTTCAAGACGAGAAAACTTAAAATCTCCTATATTCTCGTTTAAGTCAGTAAAAATATATTTAATATTTTCKAAGTCATTTTCATTTTCAGTAGATTAAATAATATTACATTATTCGATCAAACTTATCCATCCATTAACTCTTYGATGACATAGTGTTCACATGAAGAATGTTGGGTTTGGGTTTTATTATTTTCCATACATAATACACGCTCTTCAAAATTTTTAATTTGAGATCGCGATTTTCCTCCATTAGAACAGAGAAGTTTTTAAACAAATCATCAAATCTTTTTGCTATTCGGTTGAATTTTTCAATATGTGAATTTAAAGATGAAATAATTTTTCTATTTGATGTTTTGAGTTCAGTGACAGTTTTTAAAAGATCATCAAGTTTTTTTTTCTTTTTTATTGTGATTAAAAATTGCTGTATAATTTTTGATATTAATTTAACTTTGACATTGTATAACTTGGCCGGCTACACATGCGTGCGGTGATGACACTCGGGATGCGGTAACTGATAGACTATGTGGAGCTATAGACAATAGAGTAATTATTCCAGATAAATTGAGAATATTCTTATTAAAAGAGATACATAGCACCAATAGCAGGAATCGCAAAAATGAAAGTGGTTATCAGATCTTATTATTGATGGCCAGGACTTGACAAAGACATTGAAAATTATGTAAAAAGTTGTAAAGTCTGTGTATCGTGTCAATCTAGTTCAGTATAGGTAGTTGATAGGCAAGCTAAGTGGGCAAAAGCTGTTGGTCCTTTAGACAGGGTACATTTGGATTTTTTGTATTTGAATAACAAAAATTATTAAATATGGATTGATACGTTTACAAAGTGGCATGACGTGGTAGAAATGAATAAAATGAATAGTGTTTATTTAATTGAAAAGTTGAGGGACATTTTTCGACGTTTTGGGTTACCAAATAAAATTATTTCTGATAATGATCCACAATTTCGTGCTAGTGAATTCATATGATTTTGTAAACAAAATAGAATGTATTTTATACATCACCTCCTTTTCATACTGTTAAAAATAGAGCAACTGAAAATTCAGTAAAATCTTTTAAAAGAGGGATACAAAAGGTATTAAAAGATAAAAAAAATAAAAATGTAATAACGGTGAGCACTTAAATAGATATTTATTCATGTATAGAAATTCACCACATTGGACAACAAATGCGAATGTCCAGCAAAGCTGATGTTTGGTTGGAAATTAAAAACCAGGCTAGATTTTCTTAAACATTCAAAAATAAAGAGCAACACTGAGTTATWAAAATAAAGTTTTKAATGAGGGAGATGTAGTGTATGAGAGAGATTTTTTAAATCCTAATAAAAAAAATTAGGAAAGGCAGTGATAGAAGAAGTTTTAGGCAACAGAAATTGTATAGTTAGATTTGAAGATAAAGAATTAGTATGGGAAAGGCGTATAAAACATAAAATTAAGTTGGGAGAGTTTAATAAGTATGACTATAAAAAGGACTATGAAAAAGAAATTTTAGAGGAAGTTTTTAAGAAAATGATAAGGATATGGTATAAGTTAGAAATCAGAAAATCTAATGAAAAAGTTACTGAAAAAGAGAAACAAAATATTACAGTTGATATTGATGTTAATGATAAATTAAGTTTATCTGAAATAAAACAAAAAAACGTTAGGCCTTTTAGAAATAAAAAATTGCCTAAACGTATAGATTTATAAAAAAAAAAATAATAATTAATAAATGTAATATTATGTATTATGAATTGTATCATTTCTATCATTATATCTACAAAAAATAATTAATAAATGTATTTTGAATGGTACCTATTATTATTTATTATATACAGTGTGATCACGATTTAAGGTAACACTAAATAATATATGTCAGATGGATGACCTWGTATTGCAATTGGGTTTTCGGGAGGTGATAGGGAGTACTTACACACATATTTTCAGATAAATTTCAAATTTTTAACACTATTGGTGTGTGCATACTGCATGGGCAATACAACTTACATTTTCTTTTTTTACATATTCAGATAGCTTATTATTTTTTAACATTTTTTGCATGTTAGAGTAAGTCACCATTTGGATTTATGCATAATATGTGTTTAATGCAATTTTAATGTATAACTACTGCGGAATTTAATTTACTTGATCTGTTTACAAATAATAATTTGTCATGATTGTTATGATGTTAACAACATTGTGTTGTACTATAACGTCTAACCTCACTTTTATATAAATTTATTTTGTATCATTCAATTTTGTAAGTAGTAAGTACCGATGTTACAATATTAAAGAAAATTAATTATTAAGTTTTGGTCATTGTTTTCTCACAATACTACAGTTACTTTTAAATTAAACCAATTATGATACCTGTTATGGATTGTTTCATATCATCCCATGAAGAGTTTATGTCTCCAGTCCAGTGACCAGCATAATGTCCAAAACCAGGATAAGAAGATCGAGAAATGACAAAAGGTCTAGTATTCATTATTTCTGACAATGCACTAATAAAAAGTTATTAAGTTAAAATTAATAACACATACTTGTATAATTTATAATACAGTAATTTTGTATGTAGTTAAGCAAGTAATTTGATAAAAAAAGTCTATCATAACTATATGTAACTATAGTACTATACACAATTGTCTTCTAGCATAATTAATGAGAACAAAAATATTATGCTTTTTCCAAAAATATATTTTAAATTTTCAAACAACAATTTTACTTATTTTTAAATAATCAAATTGATTTACTCTATTCGAGGCTTATATTATAACAATAATATGGATAAATACTGTGTATTCAACTATTTAAGTAGCTACAGTAGTATGGTGATTGTGATTTTATTATGGTTTATGATTTTCACTGGTTTTTTTTTTTAATTAATTCCTAATTTTTGAAAAAGTTATTGAATTAGGCTTTTAGTTAATATAAATTGAGATAACTTGACAAAAAAAAACAATGGTATGAACTTTTCAATAGCTAATAGGTATAAATATATAACCAAAGAAAAGTAATAGACTTTTCAATTAAATTACATGCAGACTACAAATAAATCAATTTATTACTCATGAGTAGATATAGTTTCAACAAGTCCATATAAATTATGCAAATCATAATGAATACCAGCAAAATGAATGGCAGACATGCAAATAGTTTTGTAGTTCAAATGGCCACCAACTATACCAGGAATATATTGAGGTGATTCCCAGTGACCAGATTTAAAAGACAAACATCCATCAAAATCACCATTGACAAAATTAGCCGGTTCATTCATATCCTTTACACAAAAAAYATCAGATATMAAATAATTTTTGTTTAAATATTCAAACTCACCAACCATAACCCATCAAATTTTACAATATTGTGAAAATTTAAAATCTGTTTTTTCCAGAATTGAGTTGCATTCGGATGTGTGAAGTCCGGAAATACTGTTCCAATGTCATTCCAAACCTTTAAATATAAAATGTAAATACCTTTAATCTTTCAATATTAGAAAGGATCAAGGAAACTATGTTTCTACTAGCCTACTACATGTTATTATCTTTAAAGACTACACTCAGACAGCTAAAGTACATAATGATAGCATATTTCTAAGTTATAAAGTCTCTTTACTTTATCAGAGTTTATGCTTCAATGCTTACCAAATTGTCACATTAGGTAATCAAAGTACATAAACCCACAGTACCTATTAATTAAAATTAAAATTTTTTTAAATAATCAAATAAATTGTGTAAAAAATATATACTTTTCCTTCCAGTGGTTGACCAGCAGAATTTTTTATAAGAATATTGTTGTCGAGACCATCCTTTAAAGGGACGTAAATTGTTCCATTTGATTGCCGTGATTTAATGCCTGGATCCAAAATAATAATATGGTGCATTCCATTCTAATTAGAATTCATGACAAATATAAATTATTTATGATAGTCAGTAGAATTTGTTGACAATTCTTTTTTTTTTTTTTAAATACCCCTTTACATTTATACACATTATTGTATCAGAATATTGATTATATTGTTTTTATAATATTGATATTATATGCCATTGATCTTTGTCATTAAAAACTATATAAACTTCTCGGTTTCCTAATTAATTGAAAACAAACCAGAACTACTAAAAAAATTTGTTTTTCTGTGATAATTATTTAATGTTTTAACTTAAGAGGACGCTGCACCTGCATGTGCTGTCTTCGTCTTACAAGGTCACAACATAACAAATTTTACGCTAAGCAGATCACATTTAGCTCCATTAGTTTAAAATTWAGAGTGAGTTAACCTGTTATAAAAAATTAACGCAACATTATTATGGAGGGCTTCTCATAGGCTTTTTATTATTTTTTAATTTTAAAGCGTAAGAGTAAGTTAAGAGTATTTAAGATATACAATATACATACAATTTACAATTTTAAAATATATATTTTTTGCACTTATAAGACTGAGATAACACATGCGGGTGTAACATTCTCTTAAGGACCTATTGCCAATTTTTCAAATTCATGCAACGAATTATTACATATTTCTATCAACAAAAATTACTTAACAAAATAACTTTCAGGCCTTGTCGTATTGTCAGAATTTAATAACTATTTTTCATCTAAAAGAAGAAAGTTTCTTACAGAGCTCATTGAAGTCAGATTTTTTATTTTATTTCAAATAATGGTATAAAATAAATTGTAAAAAAGCTTAAAATTGTCTTATTTTTAAAAACATATTAAAATAATTGTATTAAAATATTGAAAAATGAAATTTCAATGTAGCCTGCAGAATATTACTCTACTAATTTAAAAAAAATCAAATTTAGTTGATTCTACAGGACAGGGTCGTTATATCTATAAATGTGTATTTTTGTAGACAAAATGATTGAAACTAGGCGCCTTAATATAGTATATATATTAATTTAAAACATAAAACAAAATAAATAAGTAAAATGTGTGTTCTACCTTGTGTAAATTATTCACGTACTCAGGCAGTTGCTTGAAATTGTTAGAAAGTGTGAAATCATCTTTATTATCCATATAATCAATGTCATTCCAATGAGTGTCCTGAAATTGTTTACGAATAGGTATTAATAATTTACAAGAAAACTATATGTAAGCATAATTATTAATTGGTTATTATAATTAGTAGTGCAGTTAGTCTTGGGTAGTATTCAGAATACTTTTAAAATACTTTTCCCAAAAGTATTCAGAACAACTATTTCAACAACAATTTTTTTTCATTTGCAACTAATTATTTTCCTTGTTTTTCTGGACATTTTTACAATATTATAAATACATTAAATCAAGCAATTATTAGTCCTATTAACAACTTAAATCACCTATATAATATTTAGATTTATAAAATTATTTATGTTGGAGCTAATTTCAAATTTTACTGCAGAAAATTACTATTGATTTAATTAAAAGTGTTTTATTTTTCTAGTTACTCCAAATACTAGTATTTATAATCAGTGTAAAATCTTTTAAAATCTATTTATTCTAAATACTATTTACCATAAGTATTTTACAACTTATACTTAATAGCTGCCAACATTTTAAAAGTATTTTACCTAAGACAGGAGTAAACAGTAAACATTTATGTTACGTTAAATTTCTCATATATAGTTGCATACACTATTGAAACATGTATAGTTAAGAGGTACTATTAAACTAATAATTTTCACTATACCCAAGGAATACCAGCTTCTATGGTCCTATTATAAACTTGAACGAGATCTTCAAAAGTYTGCCCATATCTAAAAAAAAAATTGCTACTGAACGTACATTATATAAGTATACTTAATCAAGATATTTAAAATCATGCTTACCGACTCATATGGAAACCTAAAGACCAGTAAGGTGGTAGAAATGGTTTGCCAATAATTTCAGTGTACTGAGTAATAACATCTGAAGGTGTTGGTCCRGAAAAAAAATAAAAATCCAAAATTCCGCCAATCACGCGATATGTAATTGCAGGTGCAGGCTGCAATATAATATCTGTAGGGAGATATACAATTGATTAAAATGTGTTACTTATACAAAATAATTTATGATGTGTAGTGCATAATAGTTTGTTAATAAATGTATAATTTTAATTAATATAAACTGTTTTTACATACCCATAGCATTGCTATTAAATAAAAAAACTCCATGACTCTTTCCAGATTTTTCCATTAATAAATAAAACGGATGTGAACCATAGCCATTAATCTAAAATGAACATTACATAACAATATACTAAAATTACAAATTGTTTTAAATTGTTTTT